ATATAAGTGTGAAACAGTCTCGCGCTTAAGACACGAGTTTCCAATGTTCAATTAAAATTAGGTGTATTTTTTTCCACTGATGTAGAGATCCGTGTTGTTCAGGCGGGTGGGCAGGGTGAGGTGGGGGGGTGGTGGGGGAAGAGGGATGGGGGAGGTTGGCGTAAGCAAACGAGTCAGATAGTAACGACTCGACCCAGGTCAGAGAGGTAAAAACTTTAGGCAAGTTTCCTTACTCCACACACACGCTTCTGTTTACTTACAATACAACACAAAATTACGTTTGTATAGCGGTACTTATTTAGCAGTAAGTAGAAACCCAATTGTTAGTTGATTGGCGGATTGCTTTTTCGGGGGTAATAATACCTCCAAAAAATAATAATCATAAAATAATAATAATTTTGTCACTCAAGCCACGGCTGTTTGTGGGACACTGCTCTGCGTACGCAATTCACTGTCGTGTTTCGCCCATAAAATGTACAATTCGATTTACAATAGTGTTCCATGAAACGCTTTGAGACGTCTCAACGACGTGTTAAGGCACTATATCAAATGCAAGTACAATTATATTATTATTATTATCCTTTGGGTGAGCCATTAAATTGAGGTCATGTCTGTGCTTATTCAGGTAGGCATGAAAGATCCTATAACACTTTTCAAGAAGAAAAGGGAGTTTTTCCCAATGTCCTGGCCAACAGTCCACCAGATAAAATTGGTCACTCACTCCATGGCTGTTTGTGGGACATTGCTGTGTGCAGATTGTCCATGAAGTGCTTGGAGACATTATTATTTATTATTATCTTATTCCTTTGAAGCCATTCATGATCTTATCCCTCCTTACTATCCATGTTACAACATTATTCCCTCTGCTGCATTTCCTACTCTTATCTCCTGCCAGTTCCTCATCCGCTCTATCCCATTATGCAACCACTATGCTCCCTCCAACTCGCTTAATAATAATAATAATAATAATAATCCTTGCATTTGATATACTGCCTTATCACGTCTTCACAGAATATACTGTAAAGTGAATTGACTGTGTATTTTGTGGCGAAACACGGCAGCCAATTGCACATAACAGCGGCCCACAAGCAGTCATAGATTGAATGACCAAATTTTTTTAATTATTTTTTTGAAGGAATTATTACGATAAATAATGCTTGCATTTGATATGCCTTTCCCATCGGGAGGTTGCCTCAAAGTGATACAGAGGATTTACTGTAAGGTGAAGTGACTGTGTATTTCTTAGCCTTCCAAAATCGCTTCACTTTTTCATCTTCTCCATTCCTAATTTCAAAAACCCTTTGATTGTGCTTTTGGTCAACACCTTGAAGCATCTCCTCTTTCATTCTCTGATCAGTAGCCTCTGCTGCTTCTGTGAAGTGCTTCAAGACCTTCCCCCCCTGTGAAAACTGAATGTTTCCCTTTGAAAAATCACAATGAATTCTGCCTGTCCAGCCTCCTAGCCAGTATATTCCACATGCTCGTAACTCTCTGTGAAAACGTTCATGAAGGAGTGATCATTCAGGTACATTATTCAAAAGGTATCAACCTGCCTCAGTCGGTACACTCTTGCCTCTGAGGCAAAAGATTGTGGGTTCAAGCCCTCATCTTGGTACTTTGAACTCGCTGACCCTCGAGTGTAGTGCTGGGTGACTGCTGCAATGTTGGAGATCCCATCTCTCTGTTCAGATGGATGTTTAACTCGAAAGGATAATGGAGTTTTTTCCAGTGTCTTGACCCTCATAAAATTGGTCATTCACTTCATTGTAGTCTGTGGGATATTATTGTGAGTAACTTGGCTGCTGTATCATTCTGCAAAAAAAATACACAGTCACTACACTTTACAGTAAATTCTGTAATGTGCTTTCATATCTGATGTGAAAGGCGCTATATCAAGGATATAGCAAGGATTATTTTATTTTATAAATTTTATTTATGGCTGGGTTAACTGCAGCACAAAATCTGGTCTGTAACAGACAGACAGACAGACAGACAGACAGCAGAATAAAAATCTCAATTAAGGACCAACACACTTCCTCTCTGTGGTATCTCCCAGGACAGGTTTCACAATCAGGGAGCGAGACAGATAGCGAGCGAGCACTAGACGATTGGAAGAAAGCTGTCTCTTCTCATTTTCATTTGGGTGTGTGCCACTGTTTGTATACAGGCACACTGGAGATCCCATCGAGGGTTATTTTCTGAGTGTTTTGTACTCTGCTCATGTCAAGTAATGAAAAGTTCAGTTCCATTTGTCGATAGTCTTTTCTGGCCCGAACAAGTCAATTCACTGGTGACATCCACAGGCGTCAATGAAAAAATAAAACTTGAAATTCCATCTGTGAGACCCTTTTCACTCAAAGTTGTGGGAAATTCAACTCCATGTCTTGAATTCTTTCTAAGAAACTGCTGAAAAACTTTCATCAAATTAAGATCAAATTTGAAATTGTAATAAATAAAATAATACGCTATTTATAACAAAATAATACAATAATAATTGCTTTCAAGTGTCAGCTCGGCTCATTCGGTAACACTCTCACTTTTGACTTGGAAGGTTGTGGGTTTCAAGCCCCCACATTAGGTCTTTGAGATAAAAAAAAATGGTCATTCACTTCTTTTGGCTGTTTGTGGGACATTGGTGTGTGAAAATTAGCTGCTGTGTTCTCCACATGCAGAGTATATCCGGTAACGCGCTTTGAGATATTTCGAAAACATGGTGAGGCACTGTATTAAAAGTAACAACAATAGCAACAGCAAATTGCATCTAAAATGAAAGATTTATTCTTATTATAAAGTTGCAGCTTGGATATTAAGGTATTTTGCATGATCAAAGAAGGGGAGGACACAGAAAGAAAGTGTTGCCAGAGTGGAATTAATATGAATAGTATTCAAATCTTTGAAATAGATGAGCTAAGAACTGAGTCCTCCACAATTAAATGCCAGATTAAGCAAGGAAGTGGGTTGTCGGATTTTTGTGGCATGTCAAGATCAAGGTTCAAAATCTTCCAGACAGCGGGTGTCCCACTGGGATAAAGATTTTGAGAGACAGATCTGAAATTATGTAGCAAAAGTGAGTGAGGATCGGAATTAACAAGACATGGGGGAGGGGGAGAGAGAGCAGGAAAAAAACACACTCTCCTTTGAAGTGACATTTTGGCGAGCAAAAGTGGGTGGGAAACGAGAAACATTTCACGATCAGAATTTTTTTTAAAAAGTGAGCAGGGATGAAAAAGAGCTTTAGCATAATAAAAGGGAGATTAAGCTTGCTTTGAATTCAGACTTTGAAAGTATCAGTGGATGAATTTAGCTGATCCCACCCGACATATGTACTTTTAAAAAAAAATCAGAGACTTTTGAACAAATGTCTGAAAGTAACACGGACACATTCAATAATTAATTAAGTTTCGCGTACAAAATGCACAATCACTACACTTTACAGTATTTGCTGTGAAGCATTTTGAGACGTCTCGATGACGTGATAAGGCGCTATATCAAATGCAAGGAATATTATGATAATCAATACATTTGATACCGTGGATACGCCTACAACATCAGAATGGCATAATGCTCTTCATAGAGTTTTTCTGGAAAGTATAGTAACCGTGTATTTGTAAACTAATGCATTTCAGGACAGCAATGTTGCACAAACAGCCATGAAGTGGATGTCCAATTTTTTGGATCTGGAGGATTGTTGACCAGGACACTGATAGAAACCGGGAGTAACTCCTCTCTATTTTCGAATAGTGCCATGGAATCTTTAACATCCACTTGAATGGGCAGATGGAGTCCGAGGTTTTATTGTCTCTTCCGAAGGACACAGTAATAAGGCTACTCAAACAGTGATCTTGCACTATACAATGCATTGCTTGATGTGATAACTGAGAATCCTTCGATTTGACACAACACCTATAATGTCAAAATGTCTCGAAAAGTAATTGTGGTCAGACCCAACTCACAATCTAGGCTAACGTTCTAATACAGTGCCGGAAAAGCGCTGTATTGTCAGAGGTGCCGTCCTTTGGTTGAGATGTTAAAAACTGATGCCTGTCTGCCTGTTCAGGTGGACATTAACAATCCTGTGGCACTACTCAAAAAGACAAGGGAGTTTCTCCCAGTGTCCTGGACATCAATAGCCCCAATGAAAAAAAATGGTCATTCACTTCATAGCTGTTTGCTGTGCGTAAATTGGCTGCCATATTTCCCTACAAAATGCACAGTCACTACGCTTTACAATAAATTGTGCAAAGCGCTTTGGGGCATCCTGACTTAAAAGGCACCACATCAAATTCAAGGTTTAATATTATCATAGGTTACAAAACTAGCTGCCACATTTTCCTAGAAAAATAATTGCTGAACATATGCAGTGCCTTGAGACGTTTGTGACGTGATAAAGGGGCTAGAAAATACAAAATTCTTCCCCCCAACAATGGCTTTGTGACTGCGTTTGAGGGGCTGTTGCCTAACTCCCCAAAGGCAGGTATGTACAGGGAGCTGAACGTTATTGCAAGACTCTAGTACAATTGACCATTCACTTCTCGGTCACCTTGTTGAGAATTCACTGAAGACATCCAGCCGACTCAGGCAATTTATCACACATCTGCCAGACATATGTCTGAATAAGCAAGCTGTCACCGGGGGGACTCTTATCAGTCACATTAGATTCCGGGACCCTGACATTTACAAGGCAGCAGACGGCAAGGCTGTGTTTGAATAAAGTGAGGAAGTCGTGCTTAACCATTTGATCAGTGCTGCTTTATTCAGGCTGAAAGGAGGGCAACTCGGTGACAGCAATCCTTCACGCTTGATGCAAACGTGGGAACATCTCAGAGCACTTTGCGCGTGTGTCAGGTCTGACTCTGCGAGCGTAAAGATGCCGTCCCACTGTTAGCAGACAGAAGGCCCGGGATTGTTTCTCTGAATGCAAGTGTGCCATAGTCTCTCCCCACCCAACGTCTCCGACCTCCTCAAGCCCTACCGACCGTGTTGTTCCCTTTTCTCAGCAGGAATTGGCCTAGGGTGAGGAGGGAGTTGACCATAGGCACGATTAAAGGACTTCAAGACATTTAGAGAGAAGGGATGGGGGAAAAACAGAAGGGTAGAGGAAGGAGTTCCAGAGGTTAGTGGCATAGAATCTGACCAGGTGCGTGTAGAAAAGTCATCAACTTTTATCTTTTTTTGAAACATTCATATGATGTTCTTTAAACTTCACATCCGGCAGCATTTCACCGTTCACAATAAAGACTTGGGGATGACAGGGAGGTGGGGGGAGTTTTGCGAAGAAATATTCTCATTTGTAAATATTGTTACACAGGTTGGATTAGTCAAAGAGGCTGAACACGTTTCCTATGTAAATCAACTTTATCGCACACAGTTCCTGCATAACAAGCAATTCCGTGGGTTTGCGGGAGTTAATTTAAGTTGTCTGGGAAGGAAGCCACAGAGTTGACCTGCCTCTTCCTGGATATCCCACCTTCAATATGGACAACTCTAGAGCCGGAGTTAGTAATCCTTATTGCACTGGGATGATGCAAGACTGAAGTGCCTGGAGCTGCAGCTAGCAGATAAGTGAGCCATTATACCTCACTGGGCTCTGCCTGACTGCTTTGCCTCTGTAAGCATTACTGATCCTAAAGCACAGTTTTGATTGCTCTATCGCTGAGGCTTTTTTTTCCTCACTAAGCAAACTTTCACAGTCTGGTCATAACTAACACACAGCAGCCAACTCGCGTCAATAAGTGTAGCAGGCAGGTCAGGGCACTAAAGCAACCGTGACGGGAGAGTGAAGAACTGTGTTTTTTGTGCAATGCTTCCTAACCGGAAATGACAGCGATAAAATAAATAGAGGTCCTTGCATTTGATATAGTGGCTGTAATGTCTCGGAAGTGCTTCATGGGAATTTTTGTAGTGACTGTATTTGTACGCAAATCGGTATCCCACCAACAGCCATGAAGTGAATGACCAATTTTATCTGGGGGATTGCTGGCCAGAACAGCAGCAGAAACTCTGAATAGGCTCACTGAATCATTGACATCAACCTGAACAGCAGATGGGATCTCGCTTGGTAGCGCTCTCATATCTGAGTCAGAAAAGTTGTGGATTCAAGCCCCCCCACGCTGGGACTTGAGCTCACAGTCTAAGTAAACACTCCAGTGTATTGCTGGAGGGGGGGACATTGCATTACTGTATTGTCGGAGGTACCGTCCTTCATGTAAGATGTTGAACTGAGCTCAGGTGACTAGCTTTTTTTTATCTGGGGGATTGTTAAGCTAAATTCTAGGAGAAACTCACTTGTCTTTTCAAATAGACTTATAATATTCACTCGAAAAGGCAGGCAGACCTCGGTTTAGCGTCTCACCCACAGATGTCACCTCCAACAATACAGCTGTGAAGCATCAGTCTAGACTAGGAGCTCAGAGTTCCAATGTGGGGCTTGAACCCAACAACCATCTGACTCGGAAGCGAATTGGGAGAACGGGAGAATGGATTTGACTCACTTCTGATTCAGAAGGTTATAGGTTCAAGCTCCATGGCAAGGCTTTGAAATCGCACTGTGTGGGCTGCCCTGACACACCCGGAAACCCATCACCATACTTTTGAGTATCCAAAGCAGACTGATAGTTCCACATATACATAGAAATGTTTCTGTGTCTGGAATGGAATGTGCACTCTCTCCCTCAAGAGTATTAGGTGTAGGTTGGTAAGAACCAGGGCTCAGGTGGAGAAAGGCAGACTGGATGGGCTGAATGACTTGTTTCCATGCTGTAACATTCCCTTATTTTCTCTCTTGTCTCTCTTTCTTCATTTTGCAGACAGCCCACGTTTATTCAACATTTTAATGACTGATAACAAGAGGAAGGGGCAGCCCCACATGCGAAGGAATCATAACCAGCTTTGTCCAGTGCGGACGACTCCTTGTCTCTTGGTTGTGCCAGAGGCGCCACGACGCAGCGAGAAAGAACCAAAGTTGTGACGTTACACTATTCCTGCCTCGAAAAAGGACGGAAACTGGGCCTGGCAGCAGCAGCAGCCACCTTCCCTCTTACCTCAAACACATACAGAGCTGATTTGTTCTGTCGTTCCTGCACATATCTATAAACCTCAATGAGTTTCTCAGTTTTCTCACCTCCCCTCAACAACATTCATTCTGGGGTCCCCAAGCCTTGGTTCTTACCAACCTACACCTAACACTCTCGAGGGAGAGAGTGCATATTCCAGACACATGGAAATTTTTGTGTGTAGGTGGCATACGTATGTGGAACTCTCAGCTTTGGATACTTTCATGATGGGTTTCCATGTGTGTCAGGACAGCTCACACTGTGAGTTCAAAGCCCTGCCATGGGGCTTGAACCCACAACCTTCTGAGTCAGAGGTGATATTTCTACCTATTGAGACAGGCTGACACCTGTTGGCAAGAGCCAAGGCTTGAAGGGCCTTAGCATGTGTGTTGGAGGGGGGCTACTATTGCAGTTTACCCAGCTAAAACTGCATAGCTTGCCATTGTGATCACTGACTGGCAAGCTTCCCGCTGTTTGTCCAGCTGGACCACCATACCCATTAGTGCTTTGGCCTGCAGGGTTAACAGGGAATAATCTCTGCTCTCAGTCACTGGTCTGCTCCAACAAAGTCTGACTGATGAGCCAGGCTGGCTGCTCTGTCACCAGCAGTGCCCTGGAGTACTGGGATCCCTCTTGGCTCAGGAACCGAGACCGCCACAGTCGGTTGACTCAATTTTGCAATTCTATCTCGCCAGGCATGTCACCTGAAACATTAACCTAGCGTTCTCTTTCACATACTGGTCGATGCTGCTGCATTTTCAATAGTCTATGTATTTTTTCCAATGATAAGAGTTTCTTTTTTAAATTCGCACTTTTCAAAAGGGTTGTTGACTGCTGCCCATTCACTTAATATAATTAAAGTTCATGTAACTACGCTTCCTCACTGTTGCCTGTCTGTGTATCTAGCTCTGTACGTGTGTGTCTGGGTCTTTGTGTGTGTGGTATACATTTGTGTGTGTAAATATTTATGTAATCTACATTTGCATGTGTATGTGTGTGTAGCATATGTGTGTGTGCATGTATGTACATACACTATATATGTATGTGTGTGAACACGTGTGTGTTTATACGTCTATGTATGTGTATGTTTGTGGATATGTGTGCTCATGTATGCGTATGTACATGCGTGTATGGGTGTGCGTACATGTACGTGTTGGGTGAGTGGGTGGTATATTCTGCTTTTAATTGCTGCAAGCACTGAATAAAATTTGGTTACAATTAAACTGGAATAACAGTGTTGGTGAAAGATTGTCTCCAGATCCCAGTGTCCCAGTAAAACTCCCCATTTAAGCCTTAACCAGCCCTGCACTTGCTGTTTAACGCAATCGGCAGCCACCAAGGGTTATTCTGTCAGAAGACGAAGAGACCAGCTGTATTTTTGTAGGTAACACATACCTGAGACCTCATTATCTTCGCAGTTTACCACTTTCGTTTCTTAATCCAGTTTTAGAAATGCATGTATTGTACAGCACCATTTACCTATGGGCTATTTACTCCAACCAGTCCGTGCTGGTCTTTATACTGCACATGATTTTCCTTCTCCCTCACCTTCCCTCCTTCATCCAGGGAGTGAAGGGGTAAGAGGGTGACTGAAGGCACAGTCGAAGGGGAAGGTCTTGAGACACACCTTGAAGGAGGCAAAGGAGGGAGCAAGTCGAAGGGACTGGGATGGAGTTCCAAAGGGTGGGGACAGAGAGGCTGAAGGCCCGACCACTAATGGTGAGGTGGGCCGGGCGGGGGACGTGGAACAGGCCGGAGCCTGCTGAGCGGAGGATATGGCGTTGGCAGGTCACAGATGTAGGAAGGAGCAAGGCCATGGATGGCTTTGTAAGGTGAAGACAGGGTTTTGAACTCTATCCTCTGGGGAATGGGGAGCCAGGTGCGGGTGGGAGTGATAGCCAGGCGGGGAGAGCAGCTTGGACTAGATTGTCTGGAGTCCTTCACATGAGATATTCAACTGGGCTTTCTTTCTTTCTTTCTTTCTTTCTTTCTTGCTTGCTTGCTTGCTTGCTTGCTTCCGGTGGACAAATTGGCTGCAGGATTCACTTACAAATTGTACGGTCACTACACTTTAATGGAGTTCCATAGGTTAGTGGTTAGAGCACTCGCCTCGCAAGCAAGAGGAGCTGGATTTGATTCCTGGCAGGGCGAAATGTTGGGCAAGTTTCCTTAACCCACACGCCTCTGTTGACCTAGCAGTAACTAGGAACCTGGCTGTTAGCTGATTGGCGGCAGATTGCTTTTCCGGGCATAATAATCCCTTCAAAAAAAATTAAAGAATAATAATTATAATTTGGTCACTCAATCCATGACCTTTTGTGGGACACTGCTGTGAGCAATTTGCTGCAGCATTTCACCCACAAAATATACAGTCAATTCACTTTACAGTATATTCTGTGAAGCGCTTTGAGACGGTTCGAAGATGTGATAAGCCGCTATATAAATGCAAGGATTACTTTACAGTGAAATGCTGTGAAGAGTCGTGATAAGCTGTATATCGAATGCAATGATTATTATATACCAGGAACCCTAAATGTTATTGTTATCTCAAAGTGACGATATGAAAGGTCATGTTGTATATTAGCAGAACTGGTGAATGTTACTGTTGAAAGAATCGGACGGAAATTAATATTAATAAGACCCTTTGGGCCCCATAAATATTTATAAGCTTTTTGCCGCTAATATTGATAAGATGACAAAGAAAGGCAACTCTGAAATGCTCATTAACAGCCACATCACGTGCTGGAGTGGAAAACAAGTTACAGGAGAGGAACTTCACAATAACATTTGGCTTCCTCAGTTTTCAAAGAGGAAAAATAACCCTTTTGGTAATATTAATATTTGGTTTTGCAGTCTTTTCACAAAGCAACATTTAACACTCCTGCTGAGGTCTGCAATTCCACCTCACTTTAGCCTGCCAGACCAACCAAAACTTAAGATCGCAATTTAAGATCACCTTACAGTTTGCAGCCATGTGAACTTAAGATCTACTTCAGATGAAGTGTTCAACCGAGGACCTAATTGCCTGTTCAGGTGGTTATTAAAGATCCTATGGCCCTGTTCAAAAAGAGAAGAGAATTTATTCTGACCACTAATCTCCCACATAAAATCGGTCACTCTTTCACTGCTGGTCGTGGGTTTATTGCTGTGTGCAAATTGTCTGCTATGTTCACCTATAAATGCATGGTCATTGTACTTAGCAGAAAATGTTATGAAGTGCATTAAGAAGCCTCAACGATGTGATAAGGTGCTGTGCGTTATCAAGTATCAGCCGCATCTAGGTACTATACCAAAATGTAAGGATGATTTGACAGAGTACTGGGGAATCTGCCGCTCTGCTTCAAAATACAGGAGCACACGCAATGTTCTGTTAGTTAAAAAATAAATGAGCTATAAAAATGTTCTGGTGTTTATAACATCTCAAAGCACTTCACAGAAATAATAAAAATAATCTTTACATTTGATATAGTGCCATGTCATCGAGATGTGCTGTGAAGTGTAGTGACTGCATTTGTAGGAAAACGTAGCAACCAATTTGTGAACAGTAATGTCTTGCAAACAACTATGAAATGAATGAACAATTTTATCTGTGGATTTATTACCTTTACAGCAGTACACAGATGGAGTCCTGTAGCTCAGAGGTTAGAGCACTCGCTTTGCAAGCGAGAGACCTGAGTTCAATTCCAGGCAGGGCGAAACCTTGGGCAAGTTTCCTTACTCCACACGCCTAATAATCCCTCCAAAAACCAAAAACAATAATAAAATTGGTCATTTTCAATCTACGACTGTTTGTGAGACATTGCTGTGCGCAATTGGCTGCCGCGTTCACCCACAAATATACAGTCAATTCACTTTACAGTGTGTTCTGTGAAGCGTTTTGGGACGTCCTCCCGACGTGAAAAGCGCTATATCAAATGCAAGGATTATTATTATTATTATTACATTTGCAGGCAAGCACATCAGTCATTGTGCACACAGCAAAGTCTCACAAACAAGTATGAAGCAAGAAGTGCTGCAGAAACTTTAGCTGTCAGCCTGGCTCAGTTGGTAGCACTGTCGCCTCTGAGTCAGAAGGTTGTTGGTTCGAACTCCACACTGGGACTTTGAGCTCATAGGCTAACGTTCCAGCCCAGTGCCCGGGAGGAGTGCTGCACTGTCAAAGGTGCCATCTTTCGCATGAGACATTAAACCTAGCTCCCGACTGTCTGTTCAGGTGAGTGTTTATGATCTCGTCACTATTGAAAAAGAGAAGGTAGCTTTACCGTGGCCGAAAAACCTCCAGATAAAATTAGTCATTGACTTGTGGAATATTCCTGTGTGCAAATTGTATGCCATATTCTTCTTCAAACACAGTTTCTGCACTGTATAGGATACTTTATAAAATGCTTCAAGATACAATAAATACTTACCAAAATGCAAGCATAATTATTGTTATTGAACTTGAAGAACAGACTGATGGGACTTGGTTTAACATCTTGTGCTCTCCAGCACTGTACTAAAGTGTCGGCCTGGCTTATGAGCTCAAAGTCCCAACATGGGGCTTGAACCCACAGCCTTCGGAATCTGAGGCGAGAGTGCTTCCAACTGAGGCAGGTGTTCCCTTTTGTTGGAAAGAGTTTTACTGGTTTCTTTACTCTGAATAGCAGCTCGGATTTTGAGAGTGGATTTAATCAACATTATCTACTGTTCCCTTTCTTCATAATTTTTATCTGTGAATTTGAGCGTGCTTTCTTAGGAGAAGGAATGACATCAAAGGAATCTCTGTGGGATACGGCTGACTTAGTGTGTCATGTCATAAAATGATACAGCACTGGAGGGAAATGAAAAAAAATCTTATCTGAGCTGCTTTGAAAGTTCTAGAAAAATTGTTTCAAAGAAGTTAGACAAAACACAAGTAATTTCACAAATCAACTCAATTTCCCTTCAAGAACTGAACAAGTTTCATCAGCTTTCTGAGCACTCGCTTCCCCTGTTCCATGAAGGACTACATAAGGTGAAGACCAGTTTGGGAAATGTAACACCAATCAAAAATAATCCTTACATTGAGTAAAGCCCCTTTCATAACAGGAGGATGTCTCAAATCACGTTAATCGTAGG